CACTAGGAAGAATGTATGCAATGTGTTAATTATTGAAACTGTCCTACCAGTTTGGTTTGAAACTGTCTCATTGCTATTTGTTTCTCAATAAAATTTTGGGGAAAAATAAAAATAAAAGAATAAAAGTAATAATAGCTGTTAAAAAACTGTAAAATAACTGATTTCTGTACATGCTGGTAACAGCTGGGGGTCATCAGGCATATGGGATCAACTTGCCTCTAACAGAGTACTTTTCCTTTAAAGCTATTATTTACAACTTTTTATTGTTGTCAAACATACACCATAAAATTTACCACTTTAGCCACTTTTATTTTTATTTTATTTATTTATTTTTTTAACATTTATTGTGTGTGTGTGTGTGTGTGTGTGTGTGTGTGTGTGGCCAGCTCAGCCCACCAGGGGGCGCGGCTGGCTGGCATGTGGTGCTGGGGATCGAACCGCGGTCCCTGTGCCTTGCAAAGCTTGTTCCAAGTAGGTGCTTTAGACCACTGAGCCATCTCTCCAACTTCTAGCCACTTTTAAATATAGAAAGCTGAATGTAAATCCCCGTTATTTAGCAGCCATCACTACCATCTACCTTCTCAACTTTTCATCTTGCAAAGCTGAACCCATGAAACAGTAACTTGCTGCTCCCACCCCACTGTACACTTCCTACCAGGGAATCACCATTCTGCCTCTGTCTCTATGAATGTTATTACTGCAGGAGCCTTGCAAGTGAAATTATGCACCATTTTTTTTTTATTGAGAATAAATATGAATGAGACAGTTTCTGTGCTGAAAAAAAAAAAAAAAGAATTCTAGTACAAATTCTTTGCATCCTAACACTTCCTCTTTCCTCTGTTATCAGTGGTTCTCAAAGGTGTCTTAGCAGCAGCATTAGCTTCTGCTTGGAACTTTTATTAGTGATTCAATTTCTTCCTCTTTGTAACCTATTGAGGTTTCCACCAATTCTGGGCAACTTTAATACATGCTTAAGTCTAGTCTAAGGATTTGCACCCCTCACATGGATTCTTTTTTTTTTTTTCATTTCTTTTCTGTATTTTAGGGAGGGGCCTACAGGGTGTTCAGGGTGTCACTACTAGCTCAGACTTGCAGTGATCCACCTGTTTTCAACCTCCCAAGAGCTGGAGTTACAGGCATGCACTACCATGCCCAGTCTCCATTGCCATCTCAGCGCATCCCGGGGGCGGGGCTGGCATGGCAGGCCCGGGGATCGAAGTCCCAGCTCCTGTGCCTGCTTGCAGGTGCTTTAATTTGCTGAGCTATTTGCCCGGCCCTACCACTGTTCTTTACCCTGATTCCTTTATTAATGTGACTCAAAATGCTTTCTGAGTAATGTCGCTGTGTTTCAACAAGTGACTTTCTCTCCAGGTCATAACAGTCAATGCCTGCTGTCAGAATGACCAATTGAATTCACAGCCAGGAGAAAGTAACGTCTCAGAAGACGAATGCAGCAAAAAGTGGCTTACAGTGTCCAAGTTCAACCAGATAAGTATGTACCAGGACACAATCTTGGGTTCCAAAATCCTGGGCAAAGTTTTCTTGGGATATGGTCGTTGGAATTTTGGTGATTTCTGTTCTTTCAGGTGGAGATCAGGGAAAGAAAAAGTGACAGAAGTCCTCTAGAAAAATAGCCTTTTTCTGTTTTTAATTTTTATGAAGGGAACAAAACTTCACTTGTTTAAGGGAATAGTTATCAGGATCAAGAAAGAAATACAAAGGTTTAGATAGTCTCTCATTTTTTAAGAGTGTTAGAGAACTCATTTCATCTGATTTGTAAGGTGGGAAAGTTTCCCTAATTTTATTTCTGTAACCATGACATGGATCCCTGTTTAGAATTCAGAGCTTGAGTTAAGATTGGTTCTTTGTAAAGCTCATGTACAATAAATGCTCATGGAGTGTTTATTCCACAGACAAGTATTGTTAGGCTTGAAATTTGGAAGAGGACAGGCCAGACACTTGGGCATGAAATCTGTGAGCTAGTCATGGAATCTGAAATAGACCTAAATAGGTAAGATAAAGACAGATTTTGAACATAAATGAACTCAATCATCAGAACTTGGGAACTTCTTTACCACTTTTAAAATAGAAAAATCAAGGAATGATCAGGGGATCATAAAGATTTAAAATAATTGAAAACTGCACTGATCAGATACTCAATGGACTAAGGTGCCTTCTTGGGCAGAGCACAGTGGCCAGGGTTTAATCCCTGTCATGCCATGCCAGCCCCACCGCCAGGGTGCGCTGAGACAGTGCAGTATGACCTGTGTTTAGGTTATATGTCATTTTTACCTAAATAATAATAA